ACAAATTTTTATTATCAAATTCTATGATTTGAAAGCAAGCAGTGGCAACACTTTTCGAAATAAAGCAAATTTTTATCTCCAGCCCGCAAGACAACTGGAAAAATAGTACGAAAATTAGCCAGGATACTAATTAGTATCCTTATCCTGACTGACTAAAGACGTATGAAGATGAGAATGGTCGAAATGGTTACCCTCAATTTTTTTCTAATCCGGGAGTACTTCTCTCAAAACTCAGCTCCCCGCCGTTCCGGACGAGATGATCCCGCAAAAAAACAAACAGACGCACACACATTTTAATAGTATAGAATCCATTTTAAGCTGTCTTAAAAGTAAATTTCGTCTCAAGTTCAATCATAAATTTCCAGAGATTAGCTCCTATTTACTACCCACTTCAACCAGAGGTAAGTTTTAAAAAGTTATATTTAATTCGTTTTTAAAGGTAATTAATTCCTTAATCTGGATTTCTTAAATTAATTGTTAATTCAAATTTGATCAAAAGAAGATGTTACAATGTCAACAAGAAGCTATCACTTAATCGCATTGCTTTAAATGTAAAATCTTTTTAAGTTCTCTTTTATTTTCATTAGATGAAATGGTAATTCCGAGGTTTCGTAGAAGGGAAGTTCGTAAACTAAAGTATGAGTGCAGTTTAAAGGAACAACAGAAGACTTGCTTAATAGAAACACATACCTTATAGATTTTGACCCAGCTACATCAAAATGATATACCTGACAGTTAGTATGATCAATAAAATGTTAAAGATTTTCCTTCCTTTATTTCTTGATGTTCGTTCCCATGTCAGGATTTTTATCAAAAGAATTAAATATATTCGTTTTAAAACAAATTAACAAACCTATATAAATACTAATAATTATTATGAGAAAAAAATACATTCCATAGTTCCATAGAAAAGAGAAAGCAATTTGCCTTACCTCTAGATCACAGTTTATTAACATTTTTTTCCTACATTATGTGTTTCGCTCTGCATTAGAGATTAACACTCATTGGGTTGAACTGCTGTTGAAACGAATTCCAAAAGAATATTTTTCTCGGAAGTAAAACAAAAAAAAATCTCTAGATTATTGGAGAAAACTGTAACAAAACGAAATTATTCGATAAAGTTCTCACAGCATTAGAAATAACGCGATCGATAGCGTATCCGATAATACCGGATAATTTAGTTCCGCCTTTGTTTTAAACTGTGGTGGCCTATTGATTAGTTTAAATATGATAGACAGCTTCACCTGCCAATAACGGAAGCCTCGTTTTTTGTAGTTCTCTGATATATGGAGAGTTTTACTCAATTTAATGCTACTTCACAATTTGAAGATTTTTTTTCCTTCTTTGTAGTAAATGCGGTTTCTGATTTTATTTTTTTTTCTCGAATATCGGTTTAAAAATTTATTACATCTTTATACGTGACACTTAGATCTAGGTCGTTCTTTGTTTGCGTACTTTTTAAAATTCAGATGCAAATCGTGTAAAAAGTTATAAATTAGACACACTTCTAGTTCTGTTGTGGTGACAGGGAAAACAATTAAATTAGAATGCGTGAAAATATTTCTTCAATATTTAAGATTCAATATATAATATCTTCAACATATAACAATAATATGTTAAATTAGAATGCGTCAAAATATTTCCTAAATATTTAAGAAAGAAAACAATCGGAGATATTTTCTGAGTTAAATTAATTCTTTGTTGCACTATTAAACTCAGTTTCAGAAAACAATTTATTTGTAATTAAGAAACTTTCATTTAAATAAATTTTGAATATTAAATTAAAACGTTTTTACGCCAATAATTCAAATAATATCCAAAAGTTCTTTGGAACAATTTTTTAGAATCTGAAACTGAATCAAAATATTCTTGAATTTCCTGAATCATTGGAATATTCAAACTCTCGAATAGTTCTTATTAGAATATGGAAGTGAAGAAAAAGGTAAACAAATGCTTATCATTAAAACTTTTTAATCCAAAACTTTAAAAATTTTTAAACTTTAAAAGTGGCGTTAATAAAAAAGAAATTTAAGAATAAATTTTCATTCATTTATTTAAGTCATCTTTTTAAGAGACCTGGAATATTATATGATATTTATATGATGAGAAGATGTGCATTCAAAAATTTGTAATTTTGATACTGAATTTTAAGTGGCGTAAGTGTGAAGAAAGTTAAGTTCAATAACAAACTTAAAACACCAAAAGCAAAAATTCAGCTGTGTATATCATTTTGTTAAGAAAACTGAGCACTGATACAATGAACTGAGAACAGACTGGAAAAAATCGCAAAATGTATGGCAAGATTTAACACTCTGTTTTCAGTTTACAAAATATACTGCTTTTAAAGAATTTTGGGATTTTTCCTATTAAATTTTATGGAAGCGAAGAAAATGATGCTCAATAATAGAGTTTAGAAACAAAATCTGTTGTGTACTCCGCATGACTTGCTTGTACGGAATAATAAATTATACGCATTTTTTGCTACATTTCATTCACACTTATTTCCTCAAATTTCATTAGGAATATATTTTTCAATTAAATCAGTACTCATTTCGCGCCAAGGCAAAAATGCATTAAACCTAAAAATATCTTTATTAAAAATTTAAATATGTGGAAACATATAAAACACCAAATACAGTTAAACAATTTTAGAGATTAAAATTTAGAGTTTCTACACAAAAACAAAGAATTTTGACAGCGACATGACGATAGATTTTCTGTGCACAAAACTGTCGAATTTGGTGCCATTCGACAAGAAGACACTAAAGGCTCAGAAACTGACTTAATTCACTATTCTGCTAAGTTTCATATGTAAATAAATTTGGCTGCTGTCTTAAAAAAAGAATTGACCTAGCCACATTTAAACAACTTTTAAATTGTAAATAATTCTATAACTATTGCATGCAGCTTAATTAATGGCATAAAATCCCTAAGCGGAAGATAGGAACAAAATAATTCAAGCATTTTTAAAGCATAATATGCCCAATTTACCAACATATAAGACAAAAAAAAAAAAACGAGTTCACGGAGCCGATTAACAGGATGGGTATATATATATATATATATACACACACTGCCTTGCTTTTATTCCAATTTACTAATTAATTTAGATGCTCTCTAAGTTTATATATATATATATATATATATACATATACTTCTGGTGCAGCCGATTGCATCCAAAAAAAGAGGTGCACAACTACATGGTATGGCAGTAATATATACAAAGTTTCAACGCTCTAATACTACTCCTTTTTGAATTTTATGGAATAAATACATATGTAATGTATGTATGCAGAGAAGTTACGAAAAAGTCTCTTTTGAATCCATTTAAAATCCTTTTCGCAACACGTTTTGAGAAAAAGAGTACTTTATTCTATCCTTACGTATAGATGTCACGCAAAACATCGTTAAATTGCATTCGATAGCGGTCAAAATGTATATTTTGGTTGAAATATAATCCCGGAAAAATTAAAAAAAACTTTAATAAACCCTCTGGTGCGGCGTTAAAATCTGAAACTTTCCAGAATTTTTTTTACATATTTATTTTCAATATTTTTTTTTTCCTTAATCACGTTTTTACTCAGTAATACCATAAAAATAAAATTGAAGGTTTCGATTATGTTTTGTTATCTGCTGCTATGGGCACGATAAATTATTTTATAATTTATTCTCTTTCTTCCAGCGGTATTATAATTTAGAACGCATTAAATTTTTATCGCTACAATCTGAATCTGATAAAGTAAACAAAACTTTAATTAAAGATATTTTTCTGATACGAAACAAAAAAATGGCAACACATGACAAAATGTTCGAAACCAAAATTAATAAATAAATAATGAAATAAATATAAGCAGAATAGGTTTACCAATTACATAAATTATAAATTGTCTATATATATCCTATGTGAATGAAAATAATGAAAATAAAAGTAAAGTGTGATTAATAAAAAAATTAAAATATGGTGGGGCACTGATATGTAGATATAGGTGTAATTATAAATAAGAGATAAACTTAAGAAATAAAGTTTGAAACTGTGTATATTTAAGAGGAAGTGTGTAATTCAAGACATTCGGCTACTTTCAGGGAAAAGTCATTTCTAATCAACTCGATTGGGAAAAGTATCTTCAGATGCATTGCTAAGAGTATAAAGAAAATTGTCTGGCAGCAGTCCAATCACAGCGCGAATAATTGGATAGCGTTATTGCGGTTCTTCAAGAAATGCCGACCTGTCATTTTAAATGCAAAGGAGATCTTGAGGCAGCTCTTAGGCGTAATTGCCCGAATGAAAATTTAAGTCATTAGGGAGTTTCTCAGGGAAGTGATATATCTTAGCAAAAATATATTAAAGTAAGTAATGAAACGAACACGAGTTGAGTGTCGAAATGAATTAGACTCCGAAGGAATTTTTTTTTTTTTTTTTTTTTTGTGATATCTGTGCTGTAATTCAACATTTTTTCCTTCCTCAAAAAAGAATATTTTTTTTCTGAAGTATATCTATTGCTTTGAGTGACATGCATATTAAAATTAAGATTTACGCAATTTATATATTCCAGTCTTAGATTTTTTTTTTTTTTTTTAGTTTTACGAAACTAAAATTAGCAATCACCTTCTTATCTACTACGTATAATTTTGTGCACGTAAATTTTAAAAATTTAGTCGAATTTTTTACCCTAAACTCAATTGATAATTTACTATTTTTCGTTATGAATTTGACATTAGTTAATTAATTTAGATGCTTTAAGTTTATATGCTGACAATAGTTGCAATACATAATGCTTAAATGTGATGTTTCCTTTACATATTTTCTCATAATCTTTTAATAACAATAATCTGAACTGTTATTGATGAAACAGCAAAAATGTCAAAAAAAACGCATTTCGAAAAAAGCGTTAACTAGTATAGAATTTTAAGATAGCATGAGATAGCTCAGTCAGCAGTAAGAGCTTTTTACTTTTAAATTCTAATTTTGCAGAAAATATCCTTTTTAAAATTGTACTTACTTATTATTCAGCGAGATTTCGCAATGGTCTATACCTATGATTTTATTCCTTCAAAAGAAAATCATGAATTCTAATCCTACATCGCTGCTTTGAAGACCAGTAACACATCCTTCTCTTTCTCCTTCAGAAATAAACCTCTGAGTAATGTTTATATAAAAAATATATTCATTTTCATAGTATATTATGCTTTCGTTACCGAAATATATATATGGTATTAAATCAAAAGATCTCACAGCTCTCTAATAGTAACTCGAGGTCCAATGCAGTCTTTGTTGAAGATAAAGTGAACAGTTCTGACAACTACTAGAAAACTTGCTTTAATAATATGCTTTCTGGAGACTTCCATAACTTCGCTAAGTTAATCAAAAATTAGGAACATGGCCACTTATACCGGGGTTCAACAGGAAAATTTTCTACGTATCTCTGCTTCTGACTGCATTTCTCTTAAATTCCCAAAAATTCAAACTGAAACAAAACACACAACACATAACAATAAAATTATGATACAAAAAGTCCCAAATATGTGAAAGCAATGCACAAACACATTAAATTAAATTATAAGCAAGTAAACACAAATCTTTACAAAAATTATAATAGAAAAAATGGGACATTCCCGGAAAAAAAGGGGGAAACAGTTATATATCTCTCTGTTATATATCTGTATATATATTCCTTTCATATACTACTGGACCGATTAACGAAATTCAAAATGCGTTTTTCCCGTCTCGAAAGCGCGACTTAGAATACATATTAGATTTATATATAGCATTGGTCTAATGTAGGTATTTTAACACAAAATATTTTAACTTTTCTGAAATGACTTGTCATTTGTTTTCCATATTTCGATTCTAGGTCTTAAATTATGCCTAAATATTAAATTTTGTTACATTTGGGGCGAAATTTACGCAGAAATTCCAAAATTCATCTTGGCGCATTCTCTTCAGCTTGCGCCAGGAATAATTTACTCGGCGAAATTCTTAATTTATAGCAACCTATTTTCCTTTCTATTTTTAGATTCTCCACGAGCTGAAAAAAGGTCATCATTCCTACTTTCAAATAATTTTAACAAAGTGTGTAAAACACATTTGACGTTATTATCGCCTATAAAAAATATGCCAAATTTTAAAACTCGCCAATATATAAATTCCCTTAATCTAGGAATTTTTGAATAAAAAAACTCTCATTTTTTGCAGATACTTTTAGAAATACATCTACTTTAAGACAATGGTAATCCTTTTATAGGCTGTAAATCAAACACAAATTTTTAAAATAAGTAATAAAAATACCAGAAGTATATATGGATTAAACCTAAATTTCGAATTTTGGAAGAAGGAATTGCGTAAGTTTAATAAAAAAAGAGATATCAATAAATATATATCAAATTCAATAAACATTGAGGAGCTAACATTTTGAAAGCTAACTTTTAAAAAAGTAATCGTGCGATTTTTACAAAACTTGGGAGTTTGGCATAATTTGAGTCGTAGAATTGAAGTATGGGGAAAAAAAATTGGCACGTTATTTCAGAAAAAGCGCCGATTTTGTGTCAAAATACCTATATTAGAGTAATGCTATACGGAAGTCTAATACATATCCTAAGTCGCACATTCGAGACATGAATAATGCAAGTTGTCATTTGTTTTCGTCAATCGGTCCAGTAGAACGGGAGATATAGAAGTGTCCCTTTTTTTCCGCAGTGTACATTTGGAAATGTAAAAAGATCATTGAAAATGAGTATCACTACTAACAGAATACCTAAGTTCTTAGGACCTTTTTTATACTGATTGAATTATATTATGATTGTTAGACCTTACTTCTTAAAATGTATTTATATTCCTTTCATATTTCAGTTTTCGATGCTAACTGCATGTTGTACAAAATACTTTTTATTATGATCAACAAATTTATCTGAATGTTATATATCCAAGCTAGATGGAAATTTGTCTATGTATGCTGAAAATGCTTAAATTAATTCTTCTCTGGCCAAAGAATATTAAGAAGAATGAACGAGTTGTCAATGAACGAGTTGTCTAAAAGAGTAATTACAAGTTTTAGTACATTTTTGAGAATTATATTCACAAAAACATCATAATAGAAACTGATCATATCTAATATGTTTGCCTTCAATGCGATTAAAATTTTCTGTATGTTTCAAGTTAATTCTAATTTAAAATATCAAAAAATTCGTATTTACTTTGTTATTAAATCTGAAAGATATATTTTGAAAATGCTTTAAATTACATAATCTTTTTCAGAATTTTGTACTAAATAATTGTAATTCTTTTCAGGCTAAATTCATCATAAGCTTTAATTGCATATGCAAGCACGCTTACTAGCATATGTAAGCTATTTTATTTTTTCCCTCAAATAATGTAAATGTTTTCGCAAATAATGCAGTCACGTAATTATAAATTAATTTACTTATTATGTATAAATAATTTACTTATTATTCCTCAGTATAAATAAATGTTTATACTTCTGACATTATACAATTTCATGAATAATGCCTCGACGTATGTAGAAGTGCATATACGTGATTATATGCGGTAGACATTTGCTTCTGCTTAGATGCAGAAAAACCTATATTCAATTGTGTTAGAGAGCTTGGTATGTTAGTTTAATAAACTTAATAAAATAGTACCCAACAAACAATGAAACTTTCGATTTCAGTCGATTTTCTGATCATTCTATTCTTTGGGGACTACTTACTGGTCCTACCAAACGGTTTTCTTTTGGTTAATTTTAGTGTAGCAAAGCCTTGAGGGCCTAAGAAGAGAGATGTATTTGTGGAGGACATTCTAAGGGAAACAAGTTGAAAAACCACGATAACGCCCATTCAGCGAGCCCGTTCGCGCGATTCGAACCTCGGATCGAACTACCAGTGTTCAGCGATTTTGCCGCTCAACCGCTGGTGGGGCCTGGTCATACCAATAACATCTATTGCTGATTTTCTGATAAAGTACGCAGTCGTCTATAAGAAATGTAAACATTTATTTTAAGGGTTTATACTAATCTTTTTTAAACTAACAATTTTTTCCCGTTCACATTGAGAAATTTCCTTTTTGCGTTGAGTGAAGAATTTTAATTCTTAACATAATCTGTAATACTTTTTATTTGCGCTACAGGTTCTGGTTGAACTTCTTAATGCAAGTTTAAATGTACGTAGATAAAACCATACATTTCTTTCTTCGAAATCAATTGTCTTCAATTTTAATGTATTTAATGCTATTTAATTTATTGTAAATGGAGTAAATTTCAATAATAAAAAATAAAAACCTTAATAATGGAATGAAGATTATTAAAAATACTTATTGAAACAAAAAATATGCATATCATTTACTGAGCGCCGCCTGAGATAACCACTGACCTGACATTGTTGTAAAAGTCTTACAGTGTTACAGTGTCCTGGCAGAAAGGAATATTTCTTCCGTGTAAAAATATAAATATAAATATTACATGGGCATACAAGGGCAGTGTATAAGCATAGATATGTTGATTACAAACATTGTCGTGTACAAGTTACATATGATAATTACATAAAATCATGACAGCTATGTGTACATTTAAAACATTATCTGAATTCATATTTACAATACTTTTACTGAGATAATCAATGTACACTTGTAATTCATTTACACATTGACTGGATTTTCAGTAAACTGCTTTACAATATTATTTTTATTAAGTACATACAAATTGGATAGTAATATGCTTACATTACAATAGTTTTGCTCTTACAGTCCTGTTACTATTCTACGGGATGAGCTATTTTTCTAGTGTTGATTTTCAGTTGTTGTAGTATTTTTAATTGCTATTAAAATTATACTGGGAAAATACAATTCTCAAGGGAGGGGAGAATTTCTTAGTAACTTGCTGAGCATAGCCTGATTACCTTCTCTATTTTTAGTTTTCGTCTGCTTGTTGCCGCAGGTATATCATTTACTGTCTTATTAAGTATTTAAAAATGCGCCCATTATTTCCTTTATCCTTTTCCTTTTAAAAACAGGCAGATATCTCTTGTGTGCTTTTCATATCCAAATAACCAAACCTCCTTTTAAAAACTGCAATTTCAGGATCACAGCAGTCCTTAAGAAAATTTTTAATGCTACACAAAATGCTAAGTTGAGAATGAAACAATTTCGTGCTAAGACTTGTTTATTTATTATTTCTTAATTCATGACACGATTAATTCTTAACGACACGCTTAAGTCGTTTTAAGGCATCGTATAGATCACAAGCAAAATTCATGTTTCCTTCAGGATATTTACAGAGAGCAATCCTAGCATTTCGCGCCTTTTACTGAAATAAGCTATTACTTACCGCAGATGCGCGTTTTTTATGAAACATTTCCACGATTCTTTTTTTGCATTACTCCCCTCCACTAAGCAGAATTTGTAATTTTAGGGAAACTATAATGGTTCTCAGATGCACTCTCAGAACGGATATCACAGCTTCGGTTGATGCACTGGTGAAACAATCCATCAGCTGAAGAAGCTGATCATCTGCGGGCAAGCTAGGAAGTCAAATGATGCTAGAACGACTTTTCAACATATTTCACCTTATCATCCATTTTCTTCGCTTCATATACATTTTCTTGAATATACTTAGCGTAAAATATTTAAACCCTGTTTCTACGTTCAAAAGGTTATAGAAAATGCCTGTAAGGCAGTTTTATTTTGAAATGTAAAATACTATTACCTTGTTGCCTTTGACGTAAAATTACATATGCTTTAACATTCCTCCCTTCCATTAGAAGCATTGAAGAATTATAATTTTACTACATATTGGACACTGGCTATCATATCGTCTTGAATAGCTTTGATTATAGGTAACACTTACCTGGTAGAATAATCTTGATAAGAAATAACAACCTTATATAACATAAATACGATCAAATATCCCTCAGAAAAACCCTACGAATGTATGCGTTCCTCGATAGCTATTCTCCTGTGCTTTGCTGTAATTGAAACCAACAAGCTGACCAAGAGAACCGGATGAAAAGTAGTAATTCAAAGTTCGTTCTCGGAATCATTCCTAAAATTTCATGCTACATAAAATGAATATATTATTTAACGTTTGGAAAGAAGTGGAGGGCATAAACTTTGACAAACTTGAATAGGTGTCAAACAAATACTACTATATACTAACCAAAGAGTCAATCAATCTTCCCAGCTTAAACGATTTGAAATGTTTACACCATGACTGACAAAAATTTAACGGCTGTGAATGCTCTTCTAATATCTTTATTTTATGATCAGGCTTAATCAAGTCTAAAGACTACTGTAAAAGACACTTAACTCTTCTAAAAATTTCAAAAGTATTTTATTTATTGCCATTCAGCATATTTTCAAAAATGTAAAACTGGCTTCTTTTTCTAGTTGAAGAAGTTAATTTTTAAATTTCGGAACTTATTATAATCGGATGGAAAAGCAGATGTAATATGATTTAAAATGATTTTATTTTCAGTC